CCCAGAGCAGAGCAGAGGGGCAGAATCCCCTCCCTTGACCTGCTGGCCACACTCCTTTTGATGCAGCCCAGGATGCTGTTGGCCTTCTGGGCTGCAATCACACATTGCCGGCTCATGTTGAGCTTCTCATCCACCAATGCACCCAAGTCCTTCTCCTCAGGGCTGTTCTCAATCTATTCTCTTCCCAGCCTGTATTTGTGCTTGGGATTGCTCTGGCCCACATGCAGGACCTTACACTTGGCCTTGTTGAACTTCATGAAGTTTGCACAGGTCCACCTCTCCAGCCTGTCCAGGTCCCTCTGAATGGCATCCCTTCCCTCCATTGTGTCGACGACTCCACACAGCTTGGTAGAAGAAGCAAATCTTTCTTGTAGGGCAAGATGCAAATCCATGAGAACGCAAGCTTTGCCAACACCATCGCTCATAATGAAACAACTTGGCCGCTACCAGTTTCCCCAAGAGTTAATTTCTGATGTTCAAAAAGCACTTGTGTAAGAACCTGCCAGGAATCAAAATTTGTAGAGGTGGCAGGTAACAGGGGCGGCTGTGTGTGTCACACAGTCTGCACCTCTTCTTGGTAGGCAAAACCCTATCTTGAAGCATCCAAAGACCTGCCACGCTGCGGTGCCATTCTGGGTGCCATTCAGGAAGGCAGGAGTTGCTTTTGCAGACTTGGTGGAGGAGGTTAATTTTCTCATTCTACAGCAAACTGTGTCCACTACCTACAGAAAACAATTAATCCTGCATTTGGTTGATCAGAACCTTGCCAGCAAATGTAATAAGACCCTTTTTTATTGCTTTGTAACGTCACCATTTAAACAAGAACGGACAAGCAAAATTCTGACCATTTCTATTCTAACTTATAAGAGCCATGACAAGGACTGAAATAACGTATATCAAATCTATATACATCTTCAGGAAACAATGAAAATCACAACTAAATTCTTATCACAATACATAACTCCGGTACAAGTTGCAAACTGAAGCTGTTTCAAATAAGTCTTATGTATGGTATTCCCTGGATGATGTATCTCAACAATGATGATACCGATATCACGACTAGAAAGAACTCTATTCTAGTTCATATTAGAGGGCAGTATAGCTGAGCTTCATGGGAGATCAACAGACCTAAATATAGGTGTGTTTGTGGGTGCTAGACATCTGAGCTCCCATTTCAGAGCGCTAAGGCTTCACTTGCTTAAATGTAGGTTGTCTAGTGGCATTTGAGATGCCGTATGGTATCCAGGACACCTAGATGGGGCTGACACAAGACCTATGGAAAACCCATCTACAGCATGAGCTGGAGTCCGGGCAGTATGTGCAAGGACATCTCAAGTGGCACTAGAAGCTCAGGCATCTGAATCTCATCCCTAGTAACAGCCGTTAATGAAGCCTGAGGAACAATGTGGCGCCGTAGCCACTAGGTGTCTTCTTCGGGGTGAGCACAATCATTTCTAGGTTCCACTGCCCAATTACTTAGACCACCACAAGCTATGAATAGACATTTAAGGCTGAATTCACTTGTCAGCATACAGAAGTCTTGTGCCATTGCAGATGCCCTAAGGAATCCCAAACATCCACAGGGGGTTGGTAGGTGTGATGCAAGACGTGCAGAAGACCACATGCAAGAGCAGCTGAAGGCCAGGCAAGGATGCCCCAGGGCACCTCAAAAACCTGCAAAGAATTCCTAGAGGTGTAAAATACTGGAGTTTCCAGACTGGAGAATTATATGACTTTCTTTAGGTGAGACTGTCCAAGGATTGCTGACCCTCTTGTCCATTCTCCAGATGCATTTAACTGGCAACAGTGCAAAAGAAAAGAGGTAGAACCCAGAGGTTCTGGCTGCATAGCAGGAAACAGAATTGAATTTCAAGTTGTTTGAAATTAATTTTTTCTTCTTTTCGGTCAAATTCCATTCTCAGGCAAAGTTGATAAATCTGAGCCTGGCCAATCATACATTTAAGACTTCTTAGGAAACTGAAGGGGAAAAGATCAACTAGAATGTGCACTATTAAAATTTCAATCCAGATAACTTCGGAACAGCCAAATGTGCCTGTTACACTTACTACAGAAGTAAAAAAAATCAGGATCTGAATGATGCAGGAGAAGCTTTGACAAAGTATTTTGCTTCCTGTATATAATCAATCTTTGTTGCGTGTAGTAATGACATACTTTTACATTTTCCATTCAAACAAATATAGATGAGCGGGTATGTGTCCTGACTGCAAATAGGTGTGATATAGGATGCTTTCAACCAAGAGCAAATCATTTTGCTTGCTTTTTCTTTGTTTTTCTAGTGTCAGAATTTGCTGTGGGCATTACCTGGTGACAGACATGATGCAGTGTACTGAAACAACGTGGTGATAAGCAAACCAAGAGTAACCTTTGCTGATTTTAATGATAACTAGGGAGTACCCCTTCAGTACATACATACATGGGATTATGTTAAGCTGTCAGGTATATTCACAATGAAACAACATTTCACATTCAGTATATAAAAACAATTCATCAGGAAGGTTCTGCTGCAATTCACAGTACAGAGAGAATGAATAACCAATATTCCAATATTCTTTAACGTAATTAAGAGATAGATACAGAGCTAAGGAATTATGATAAGTATTTGCACACAAATCTTAAAAGCACACAGAAAAATGTTTTCATTTAAGTAATATTTTATTACGTATGGTCTAGTTATTTAAGAGTTCCTTCACAGAAATATTTTAGACTATCATTTAAATACATTGCTACAATAGTAATAAAACACTCACAGGAGTAGGAAATAGGATTTTTAAAGATTCCTTTTAAGCAGAGGGGATAACCCCCACACATTACTAGAAGACTAAACAGGTAATGCATGTAATAGCTGTATAAATTGTTTTATAGAGAACTACAGCTCTGCGGTTGCTGTTTTGCAAGCTTAAAACATAAGCTTTCCCATTAGTATCAATGTCATAATTGTCTAGCCAATTAATTTTGGTTATCTGTCAGAGAAATTTGCCTTGGGAGGTACTTCAAGTCGGATATTTCAGTGCTCTTAAAGACTTTCTGGAGGAAGAGTTTTGCTCCTTAGTGTGACATATGAAGAAGTACTCAATAAGCAGAGAGAGAGGCAAAGTCACAGAAAAGTTTACGGCATTGATGGATCAAAGGGAGAAGAAAGACACATGATGATCACGAGGGAATTAGACAGCTTTGAGATCACATGGCACAACGCACAGTACCAGCCAGGGAAATGGCAGGGGAGACATGAGCTGTCATAGCTGTGTTACCACCAGAGTGTGCAGCACACTCTCCATACCCCATGGAATATGGTATGAGAAACAAAGAAGAGAAGCAAGAGAAGAGAAGAAGAGAAGCAAAGCAAGGTGAATCCTTGGCTAATCTAAAGAGTCTGTAAATTTGGAGTCTAAGACCTTGACCTGAATGTTAGCTACCTAAAGCATGGTTTAGATGGAATGTTCCAAGTCCAAGACTGGTTCAGGATGTCTTCCATCAGCTGCTTCTACCTAGTGCTGGAGATACTTAAACCTGTTTGCAATTTTCATTTAAGGTTCTTGGAGGTGTCAAGAGCTCTGCTTCTGTGCATGACCAGACCTGTCTTGCCCAAGCAACTGAAACCCTTTCAGTTTAGGACAGATCATGTGGAAAACCAAGAGCCTCCTCCTGTTTAATTTCTTGTGAGGCTTCGCCTACATTTGGTACACAGAAACATGAGCAAACAATGCGCTGCCTTTTGAAGAAAATAAAACACCAGTAATAGGAGAGATTGCGTAAGTGCTGTGTGATAGTATAGTGATTAGACTATGAAAATGAGAGCTGGATGTGCCATGTACTCTCTATGAGGGGGTTAAATTCCTGCTTGCGGAGATGCCACTCTAAGGCAGGTACTGGAAGTGTTAAGACTCTTGTCTACTTCAGAGCATATCTAGTTTAGAAGAGTCTGAAGAATGTTACTCCGTATGAGCTACAAAGCACTCCCAATATCTTAAGCGAGCTCAAGGCAACTTAAGGCAAACTCAAGACTTAGTAAGGACTAAAAGCTGCAGCTATAGTCTACCAAGGAAGAAGCATCGCTACCTTGCAGACTCCTGCACCGCACGAGAATTTCTTAAACAAACCACCCAGCGAAGTCCCAGAAACAGAACTTTCCTAAAAGTTTCTTCATTTACCCCAAAACCTTCAGACTCGCTAAAGGCAGTCGGTGTTTAACGAGGAGGAACGGCCTCTGCGTTATTTTTGCGAGTTTAAAAGACGGCAAAAGGACGGAAAGCCGCAAGAGCCGGAGCTGTCGCCGGCGCTGCAGGGCTCGTCTCAGCGAGCGCACCAGCCCCGGGGAGCCCCTGCCCGCTCGCACCCACCCGCCTCCCTTCGCCCTGGGTCCCGGGGC